GGGACGAAGGTAGTAGTATGTAGTATAATCTAGGAGTTTTTGCCTTAATAGGAATAAAATATATGCAGTAGCTTTTTCTGAAATAGGACCAATTAGTTTAAACATACTTAAATCAGACTTTTTGTTTGTGATTGAACCAAAATACTCTCACTGTTCATTGCCCCAAGATTGCCACCTGTTAGCCGCAACTGTCGTAAAATTTTCTAGAATGTTTTCTGGCGGCTTGCCAATATTTCTACCTTCCGCCGCTGCTATCGCCGCCGCCACCGGCCCGCCCCTGCTACCAGCGGGTTGTCTTGGTTGTGCAAGAGAACTAGGGGGGGAGCAATTAATCGGGTTATGATACACATGTAATTTCCGTGTGTGTGTTTACGTTTTTAGTTAGTTTTTGTTGTTTAATATTTCAGAAATTACACACTTTTGGTGTAATAGTTGTAATTCATTTAGATTAGTATCATCCTGAGCTTAAACAGGTCCAAGATCAATCAAATGATCATTGGTGAAGGAGGGTGCAAAAGTACAAGACAAAAGGAAGGCAAATCCCTGATTTTTGACCTGTACCTGGTCGAGTATACCATGTACTCGATCGGGTACCAACTTGAGTTTCAATCAGATCAATCAGGAAACAAAGGGACGTGCGGGGGAAGATTTGGCCACGGTCAGTTGTCATACACGATCGGGTACACCGACACACCCGATCGGGTATGCCTATTATTTTTACCCTGGAATCGATAGAGTAAAGCTCGAATTTAACATTTCACATATACCCGATCGGGTATACACCAGTACTCGATCGGGTACCCGAACTACACTCCCAAAAGGCCTATAAATACATCTCTTTCCCTTCACAATTAAAAAACCAATTCCTTTATACTTTTAAGCTCAGTTTAGAATAGCATTTCTTTATATTTTTCTAGCATGTTTAGTCTCCAAATGAGGAGCTAAACTTCTATTTCTTGGTATTGCTCTTGAAGCTTGTTGATTATTAAAGTTGTGAGTTATTTTCTTAACTTCTTTCCTTGAATATTAATTATTCTTTTAATAAATACTATTTCTATATCAATGTTGGGGAGTGTTACTAAGATGACAATTAGTTAACATCTTGACATTGGTCTTAGTAATAGCTATTTCTTCCTCTATGTTAATATTGGGGAGTGTTACTAAGATGACAATTAGTTAACATCTTGATATTAACTATAGTAGGATTCATCTTCTTTAATATTCTTCCTTGAGTATTAATTAATACCTATTTATATTTCATATTAATATTTTGAACATTACTTAAAGGATCAACTAGTTTTGTTTCATATATTAATTATTACTAGAAACAATCAACGAACCGATGGTTAATCGTTGATAGTTTCACAAGTAACTTCGGTTTATTAATGCACGGTCATGGTTAATAAACTTAAAAGGGATTAATTTTGTTGGTTAAATCGAAACCGTTGTGTTGAGGTTATCAGTCTCAATTGATTTCATCAAGGAGTTAAGATATTAAATGCTACTATCAAGTCGGTATACGGCGTTGTTCTATACTTGACTAATAGTAAGGGTTATTAATGAACGGTCGTTGTTAATAACTACCCTCGATGAATTGGATATACTCCTCGATTGAGTGTTCGAGAGGGGATAAGTTATAGATATAACAATGATCGACTAAAATATATCAACAAGTGGAAAGTAGCAATGCCAAGTCCCTTTTATTCTTGAATTAAATCACATATAAGTCGTCCATCTTCGTGTTTAAATTAATTAAATCACTCAATCAAAACCCCCCTTTATTTACTAGTTACATAAAAAGAGAGTTATTCCTTTCCCTGTGGATACGAACTCTACTTCACCTATACTACGTATAAGTGTTAGTATTGAATATTATTTTGACGCACCGTGACAAAGTGCCCGTCAGGTTAATTAATTAATTCATTTAGGAGTAAAAATGGGACGATTAGCCCTATTTAGAGAAAACCAAACATTATGTCCGGTTTTTGGAAGAACCGTATGTTTTAGTCCTAGCAATAGTAATTTTCTCCATAATTGACGTGCACTTGTCGTGGTGTGCACTCAAAATAATAAATACAATACAACACTAATACGTAGTACAGTGAAGTAAGGTTCGTATCCACAGGGAAAGGAACACTTCTCTTCTTATAGAAATAAATAAGTAATAACAGGGGGGTTTTATGTTTGGTTGATGAACTTAAATTATCTTTTAAACACGAAGATGAACGAGTTATGTGGTTTAATTAATGCGAAGGAGACTTGGCTTTGCTTTTATCCACTTAATGAAATGTTCGTCGATCCCGGTTATATCTTTAACTATCTTCCTCTCGAATACTCAATCGAGGAGTATATCCAGTTCATCGAGGGTAGTTATTAATAACGAGATGCGTTCATTAATAAAACTTACTATCGAGTCAATATAGAACAAGCGCCGTATATTAACTTGATAGTAGCAATAAACTTAAGATGAAAACGATTGAGATTGATAACCTCAACACTAGCGGTTTATTGGTTTAATCAATATAATTAATTCCTCTTGGCTTATTAACCATGAGAAGCATGTATTAACAATCCAAGTTTACTACCATTGAAAGAACCGAATTAATAACAAGCGTATTAACCGATTGATTCTAGTAATAATTAATATATGAAACAAAACTAATTGATCCTTTAAGTAATGCTCAAAATATTAATATGGAATATGAATAGGAAGTAATTAATATTCAAGGAAGAAGATTAAAGAAAATAACTCACAACTTACAAATCATTAAGCTTCAAAGTAGCAAAACCAAGATGGAAGAGTTTAGCTCCTCATTTGGAGACTAAACATGAAGAAAATATAAAGAAATAACTTGTCTAAATTGAGCTTAGAAGTATATAGGAATTGGTGATCTATTGTGGAAGAAATGGGGTGTATTTATAGGCTTTTTAGGCTTGCAGGGTCGTGTACCCGATCGGGCTGTAAGGGCACTCGATCGTGCCCCATTAACGAACGGATAATTTGTATTCAAATCATAACAACCCCAATGGGTAAATGGTATAACCATGGGTAACCATTTTATTCAATGAGTCATGATATTTTAATATAAAAATTACATTGTAATATTTTAAAAGGAGGAAAAGGGTATCGCCTAGACGTAGTATAGTGTAGTATGTTCGTATCCACGGGGAAATGAAAAGTTTTCATTTGTGAAACTTGTAATAAAAAGGGGATTTTAGGATTATTTGATTTTAATTATTTAAGCACTGAGATGAACAACTTATATGAGTTTTAATTCAATGAGATAGAAGACTTGGCTTTCCTACTGTCCACATGTTGAGATGTTAGTTGATCCGGTTATATCTTTAACTTATCCCCTCTCGAATGCTCAATCGATAAGTATATCCAATTCATCGAGAGTAGTTATAATAACGAGATTGTTCATTAACAACTCTTACTATTAGCCAAATATATAACACCATCATATACCGACTTAATAGTAGTATTTCATCTTTTTAACTCCTTGATGAAATGAATTGAGATTGATATTCTCAACGCAACGGTTTTGGTCTAACCAACATAATTAATTCCTCTTAGGATTATCAACCACGACCATGTATTAATAACACGAAGTTACTTATGAAACCATCAATGATTAATCATCGGTTCATTGATCGTTTCTAGTATTAATTAATGTCGGAGCATTAACTAATCATCACTTAGCACCACCCCAACATTAATATGAGAATAAAATTAAGGGAAGAATTAATATTCATGAGAAAAGATTAAGAAAATAACTCACAGCTTAAACATTCAGCAAGCTTCAAGAGCAAAACCCAGAAATGGGTGTTTAGCTCCTCATTTAATTTGGAGACTAAACAATGCTTGAAAAAATAAAGAAAATACTATTCTAAGTTGAGTTTAAGTATATGGAAGAAGGAATGCTTAAATGTGAAGGAAAAACGTGTTATTTGTAGGTGTTTTCAACACCTTGGGCTGGATACCTGACCATGTATAGGTCATACCCGGCCGGGTATCGGTCAAAATCGAATAATCTTCCCACGTCGTTGTGTTTTCAGCACCTCTGTTTGTCCGGATCAAGTCATACCCGACCGGGTATAGGGTCATACCTGACTAGGTAAGAGTCCAATTTCCTGGCAGCTTCACTTTTCACATCATATCTGACCGGGGTAAAGGCCATTCTCAGTCAGGTAAGACACATGAACAGTTCCTTTGAGCACAAAGTTGCTCCTTTCTACACCATCAAGCCCACCACTTCTCACAACTTACAATACATGCCAAAATATAATTAGTTAATTACAATCTAAATTAAACTAACGACTACAAACTTTCACAATAATAGTAAATAAACATCACAAACAAATATAAAAACATACACTTATGCACTAATAATTAATGCATATTATTAAACCTAAAAATACTTAAACTGAAAAAATAATTAATCTTAGAAAAAATTGAAAACAAGACTATTTCTTTTGAAAATATCAAATGAGAGTATTAAAATATATTATGAACTTTCATTCATGTACTATACTTAGTACATCCATTATCCATATATACATAATGAAAAGAGAAAAATATCATCTTTTATTAGTTGTGTAACAAATAATAGATAAAATGCGTACAAAAAAATAGATAAAATGTAATCAAAATATACCTAAAAATAAATGGGGTGGCTACGTTATTCATGATATGGAATCTTGATAAAATGTAATCAAAATATACCTAAAAATAAGAGATATGGAAGTCTTGTATAATATCACTCGACAGTGTATAGTTATCAATCTAATTATCAAGCATGTAAGTTATTCAAGCCGATAGATGGTATTTTTAAAGAACAACTCACTAAAAATTAGCACAAATGAACAATTTAAACTAGAAGAGAAACACAAGTATACTATAACCACGCCGCATATATTCCAAGAATCCAAGATAAAGGGTAAAAGAAGATCTTGAGAAAGGATTCACTCAAAATGAAAAAGTCAAATTTCAATACCATTCTCATTATTAAGAGACTATTACATACTTCTAATGACCATTCTCATTCTCATGATCTAAAATTATCCCATAGTTAAACGATGAGAAACAACATACAATTTATTCCCCTCCTTCCATTACGAGGGAACGTACACTGACATAAAAACAATAACTTCAACATAATTTAGACACACCAAACTAGCAGAGAGTGAGATATTATTTTGGAAGCATGCATATACGGATTATGGAGGGATGGAGTACGTATTCGGCCACCTAAACTATTTTTATTCATAAAAAGAAGATGGTAGTCTAGGAGTAATATGCACTTCCAGCGGAGTTGCTCTAAGCAGAGTGATGGCTTGCCCTTCCGACATGTCCACCGGCATATTCCCCGGAGTTGTGATGATAAACCCTTGGATCAAACGGGCAATGGCGAGATGCGTCACTTTCAAAGCGTACGAAATTCCGGGACACGATCGTCTCCCGATCCCGAAAGGAATGTACCCAAAATGCCTGCTCGGATCCGTCTCTCTTTCATCACGCCCCATAAATCTCTCTGGCGAGAACTTTTCCGGCTCCGGCCACACCCTTGGGTCCCGGTGGATCTTCCACACGTTGGGGTACAAGATGGTGCCCTTTGCAACGACATAACCTCCGATGGTGCAATCTTCCATGGCCCTGTGCGGGAATAGAAGAGGGGCGGCTGGGTATAGCCGCATAGCTTCTTTGACGGCAGCCTGGAAGTACACCATCTGTTCAATGTCGGAATCTTGTACCCATCTTTCATTGCCGGCGATTATGGTGTCCATCTCTTCTTGGACTTTCTTCAACGCAAATGGGTTGTTAAGTAATACAGACAATACCCATTCCAAATTCAGGCCCAACGTGTCTGCTCCGTCTACTAGCACGCTCTGAACATACAAACCAACCAAAAGTGTCATTTCATACATTTTTACATAATAGAGTAGTACTCGTTCGTATTGAAATTGACTCAGTTAGTTGAAATTGATGAGATTGTTATTAAAAAAATCTGAATTAGATTTAAAACATATACTCCCTTCGTCTCAAAAACTTGACCAATGACTTTTATTAATCAATGATAGTAAATTTTGGATAATGATTTTAACTTTTATATGAGTGTGAAATTTATAAATTTAATACTTTTATGAAGAAAAAATTGAAAAGGAATATTTTCATATAATTCTCATATTTTAAATAATTTCATATTAATAATCATCATTGATCAAAATTGATCATCATTAACCAAGAAAAGTTAATACGATAGTATGACTTAGTTTTATGGAATGGATGGAGTATTTTATTAGAAAACAAAGAAAATTACAGTATATGAAAATAGCTTCTTCTTCTTTTTGAAAACATATGGAAATAGCTTAAATAGTCATTTTGAACAAATTCAATTAATTCAGTCATAAAATGTTTTGCCGTGTCATCCGATGTTAATTTGTAGTACGTAATATACGAAAAAAATCATCAATTCAATGATCTGTAGTTTTGAAATGTACTAATGAAAAGGAACACACACAAAAACTTGTAATCACGAGTAAAAGATGGAGGGAACATAAAAGTAGAGCCAAATTGGAATGAAACATACATGCAATGCGGCCTTGATGACAGTTTCACGAGTGTAAGAATGGCCTACAGACTCAAATTTACCGTCAATGACTGAAAGCAATACGTCAATGAAGTCCCGGTCGTCCTCACCGCCACCGGCGGCAGCAGCATTTGATCTCCTCTTCACATGCTCATCTATCCATTTCCGAAAGATACAATCCAATTCCTTAGCGGCTCGTTTCATGGACGCAACCGTTCCGCCAAAATCCAACCACCTGACCAACCCAGACGGGTAAAATGAATCTCCTGGGGCAAGTTCCCCGGTGAGGCGCATAATTTCGTTGAACACTTTAGCCATTCGACGTGTCTCCTCTACGTCGGCGTCTATGGCAGCGGCCTCCTTGTGAGGGTCGTTTGTTCTTCCGCCTAACAGCTTAACGACTATGTTCATCGTCAAGTGTCCGAACCATTCGCTCATGTCCAACGCCTTTCCTGTGGGACTGAAAAGTCCTTTGAGGTTGGCGTCTAATTCCGACATCCAAACAGACTTTAGTTTTTCCAGGGTGTTGTTTGAGAGCATTTCTACCACCACCAACTTCCGCATGCTCCGCCAGAACGGTCCGTGAAGTGCGAATGGCAATACTGCATACTCGTATCCAATGTACTTTCCTGTCGAATGTGTGAGAATAATGATCAGGCTTACTATAGTGTCATATAGAAGTATATGGTAAAAAAGTTCTAATTACATAGGAGTTCCTACTAAATACAAAGTATAGAAAAGTTATTTTAGGTATAATTACATGACTACACCCTACTAATGAAGGTGACAGGGTCCCATGGTGTGTGGGGGGGGGGGGGGCTAATCGGTGATATGGTGCATACTTTGATGACATTTTAATCTTTGTCGCCGCAATATAAAATATTCAAATTCCTAACCATCTAATAATGTATTAATGAGTCTGCCACGATATATAAGCTCGTGGGTAGATTACGAAGGTTCTCTTTTGGAGTGTTTCAGCCCCAGATTAAACCAGGCTAGACTTCAACAGATCAAACCAGATCAGGCTTAAACAGACCGGCTGACTAGACTAAACTCCCATGCGTAGTTATAACTTATAAAATACACAGAGACCATACATTTACCAGACCATGTCTGACCATACCATACCATACCATACCAGACTAGACTCAAACAGACCTGACCATCAAATTTCAGTTCAAAAGAAAACATTCTAACACACCCAACTTTGTAATACTATTATTGTACTAGAGTAGTCTTAAATCGACAGTGTCGCATGTGTTATATGTACACTTATTAGTATTAAAAAAATATGTACACTTATTAGTCTTGTTTTGTATATACTTCACAAATAGTGAAAAATGTAAGTATAAATTTGACAATGTAGGGCCTCTAAGAATTGAATTATATTACCTTTATTTCTAAACAATCCACATACAAGTTTCCTCTTTTTGTCTCCTCTCACACAATATATATGGGTATTGAGACTATATGCAAGTAGAGTTAGTTGTATGTTTAAGTTAGAGAAATTGTCCTAAATAGGAGTAAATGAGGTTTGCAGTTCCAAAATATGACTACTATGTTTTTCTTTCCGAAATAAGAGTTGATACTGTCATGTACTACCTCCGTCCCTAATAAAACTTCCAATTACGGGTTACGAAGTTTGACCAGCGATAAAGTTAAATGATCCCTGTGAAAACTCGGATTATTTTTAGTAAATAAAATTTACATATTCAGAAACTACGTTAAACCCGCTACAAAGCCTGCAAAAAATAATTCAATTTTTATAAATTTTTGATATATAAAGTAAGAGTTTAAATGTGATTTAAGTTGACTCTCGAAAAGCGAAATGGAAGTTTATTTAGGGACGGAGGGAGTATTAAAAATATTGTCATAATTGAAAAATACTGTCATTAATTATAATAAATATTGGCATGTTAAATGCCTTCTGTATTGCAAATATTTGGCAGTCACGCCTACAAAGTGGCAGTAAATACTGTCATGTTAGTCCTATTTCGGGAATCAAAAACTCAGTATACTCCTATTTTGGGAAATCGCCCTTTAAGTTAAGCCCAACGCGGCTTCAAAATATAAAATTGATCAATAATAGAATTTAAATTTATATTATTGAAAAAAATCTATTTAATGTAGATCATAAGAGAAACTTCAACAAAATCATCCCCCATTTTGTACATTAAACGTTTAAGAAAAACATTTCTTTGGAACGCATGGTTATGGGCAGTATGTCTGAGCTTTGGATATTATTTCGGCCTGGAAAGGAGATAATTTTCATTAAACTTATATGTATATTTAAAACAAGTTGGGCTGGTTTTGAGCCCACCCATGCCGACAAATTGGGCTGGGTTTGAGCCCACCCAAGCCGCTACAATTATCAGCCCTTGTTTTGTATTCCTTTAGTCCCCTGTTTTGGGCTGGGCTAGACATATACTATCTTACATTTTTTTGTAAATAATTGTCAAATTTGATCAATAATATTTTTTAATATGAAATTATTTCAAATATAAAAACTATATGGAAATGTGCTTTATTAAAAGTACTTTCAAAAAATTAAAAGTGTCATACAAATGTAATAATTAAAGTTATTATCCAAAATTTATTATAGGGGTGGGCGCAGTTCGGAATGGTCCGGTAATTTAGCAAAACCTGTAATGTACCCGTGAGGTTTCTAACGGTTCGGTACGGTCCGGTTCTAAGGTTGGAACCATTCAGTACCATGTCAATTCGGAACGGTACGAAACAGTTCGGTACAATGCCAAAGACATGCCGAAACATTTGGACAAATATTGCAATTAGTATATATCATCACACCGGTCAATTCACATGAAATGTTGATAAAATACAAGAAAATGCATACTAATTACTAAATACTAGAAGAGATTTAAGAGGTTGACATTTTTTTTATTTAAAATCACAACAAATAGTGCAACACAATTAAGTAAAAATATAGCAAAACAACGATACACTAGTATAATATCATCCTTGTTAAATTCATGTGAAAATATAAAAAGAATATCATTAAATTGTTGAAAATAATGAAAAAATTCAACATTCTTCTTCTTTGTTCTAAGTTGAGTATAGGTTCTAGTTTAATTCATATTGAACCGTAAGAGTTACGGTTCAGACCACATCACTTAAGTTTGAAAAATACGCAAATATGATACAACAAAACGTCATATACTTTACATTACTATAAATTAATAGTCATTAATGATTTTTAAAACTTTAGTATTCTTTCATTATATATATACCGAATATAACATAAATTATCTAAAAGAATAAAGTAATAATATTTATATAACACATACATGTATCTGTTTTAGGAATGCATGAATATATACTTGGGCTATAAATTTGTTGGTCTATAAAAGATATTTATTGGTATTGAAAAATATGGGGAAAACTGTCAAATAGGTCCTCGAACTTTCATAAAAAGGTCAATTAAGTCCTTCTATAGGAGGTTCTGTCCGGCCGTCGTGATTTGGGGAAGTTACCGGTGGAATTTTTTGATGAAATTTTTTGAGCATCTTATTCACCAAGTCTAGTTTACTCAAACCAAATTTCAGCTAAAAATTCAATCGGGAACACATTCAAATTAATTCTTGAAGATAACTGCGCATTTTTGCGTTCTCGAATTAATTTGAATGCGCTTCCGATTAAATTTTTAGCTGAAATTCGGTATGAATAAACTAGACTTGATGAATAAGATGCTCAAAAAATTTCATAAAAAAACTCCACCAGGAACCGCCCCAAATCGCGACGACCGGACAAAGTCTCCGATAGAAGGACTTAATTGACTTTTTTATGAAAGTTCGAGGACCTATTTGACAGTTTCCCAAAAATATAAAAATCTCAAAGGCATTATGTTTGAACGGTTCAGTCCGGTATTTTTCGGTTCTCAAAATCTAGGACCGGTCCCGTACCCGTTTGAAACGGTACGGTTTCGGTTCAGGATTAAATTCTATAGAATCGTTTAAATACCCGTTATTCGGTTCGGTACCATTACGGGCCGGTTCAGTACCGGTTTGGTTCGGTTTTTATGCCCACCCCTAATTTATTAGCATTGATTGATGAAGAAAAATAAAAATGGTCAAATTTTGGTCAGACGGAGGAGTATCTACTATAAATGCTGATGAGACCTAATTGTTTGAACAATCTACAACATTAAAATTGCATAGTACTTCGTAAGAAATATCAGCCACGTAATGTAATATTTTGACTCTGTTTGATAATAATAAAATTTGCTGATTTATGAAAAACTATATCTAAAGTATGTTTTATTAGTAAATTAAATAAAAATATATATGAAAATAGTTAATATGATTATCTACAGTAACTTTAGACAAATCAATAAGAAAAGTAACTTCAATATTATTTATTTTGATTATTACATAATTTATCGTGTGAAATAAAAATTTATGAACTCGGTATTTGATGAAACATTGGCACATATGCGGAAAAACATGCGCACCAAACGGGCTCATGTTTAAAGAGACGCAAGAACAAGAGTTAAAATTAATCATCTTAAGAATTTGTGACATAACTTTTTACACATAATTCTTACATATAATTAAAAATGAAAGCTTATCTCAAATTCGGATAGGTCATGGCCCGGTTATAAGTTCCCGAAATAGGACTACAACAGTTTAAAAATTCCAAAATATGGCTGTCATGTTTTTTATTCGCAAAATAGGAGTAATTACTGTTAAATTTGGAAAATACTGTCATGTTTGAAGTCTTGTTTGAAGTCTGGTACTGCCAAAACATTACAGTAATTAGTCCTATTTTGGGAATAAAAACATGGGAGTCCTATTTTGGGAATAAAAACATGACAGTTCTATTTTGGAATTTTCAAACTTTTTAGCCCTATTTCGGATAATATTCTCGTTATAAAATTGGAGAGTTTTTACCAGCACAACTATGGGGGCGATCGGCAAGGAGCTTGTCGTTAGCAGAGAAACTCTCCATGGCGGTTTCCCAACTGCTGATGACGACTGACCGCTGCATCCCGACCCGGATGGCAAATATGGGTCCGTATTCATCAGCCATCCTTCCCAAGGTTCGAGCCAGTGGTTGCTTCCCGGAGGTTAACAGCCGGAGGTGCCCAATCACAGGCCATGCTCCCCTCACCTCCGGCGGCGGTAATAACTTGTTTTTATTCTTTTTTGTTCGCCCCAGTGACCGCAAGGCCCAGACCACTAAAAGCAGCCCAACAATGCCTATTAGTAAAGAGTTATCGGAGAACAAGAGAAGAAAAAAGCCCATTCTAAATATCTTAAGATTATTTCCTTGAATGCTCACATGGAATGGAGAATTCACACTTAAATAACTAGTGCAGGCGTGATTTATCTATGTTTTTATATATATAGAGGGTCGTTTCTGTTAGTCTGGATTAATTGGAATCTGTCCAGAGGTCTTTATTTGAGATGATTTCATATTGAAATTTAATAGGAAATCTGTTAAATAAATTATTGAAAAAACACTGCGACATAATTTTCATTTCAGAAGAATATGCTCACAAAATTTTATCAAAATATTCCACTCGAAATAACCGGAGACGACCTGAAGGCGGTTCCGGTCATTCCGCCCAGAAGAACGGTAATAGGGGTGGCATATAATTTCTGCAGCTTCGAAGTGCGGGCATGCCTGCAAATGGTGGAAGCTTGTGCCTTTATTTGTTTAACATTACCCTGTATTATGGAGTAGATAACTTGTCATACTCTGGATTATAGATACCTTGACACTGCTACGAGCTAATATGGAGTATTTTAATAGGGGTATATAATTTCCTCACCAAATCATTCAGGCACCTTTCTTTTTAAATTCAATGTTTGAATATTCAATTCCTACCAGGTCTCTGTGTGTGTTTCTGTACATGTCTTATATTTTAAATGTTCACACAACCAAAACTTCCACAAATGCGAAATTTTGTAAGTTCTTAATGCACACATACAAAATGGGGCTAATAAAAATGTGTACATCAAGAATAATTCTTAATTTTTTGTAGCACCGGTTGATTCACTAAAATGAACCTAAACACCACATCGAATCGCTCTATCACTTAGTTAACCGGGGTTAGAGATCATCATTTGATTAAAGCCCCAAACTCAAGTAGACTCTCAAACTCATGTCCATGATTTTAAATTACCGTAGCGGTTAGGGGCGGAGCAGGGAACTAGGCCGATACAAAATACTCCATATATTTTTGACAAAAAATTACATAGAATTTTTGCGCTAAAAATATAGACAGTCTTTAAATTTGGAATGGGTCGGGGCCTAGGTTGGCCCTCTAGCTACGCCCCTGGAAGAGGTTTCGATTGCGGTTGCAGCTAATGTGGCCGTCGCGGTGCGAATTGCGGCCGCTGCGGAGTGAAATATTTTCAATGAAGTATGAAGGTGATGCGGTGTGGGAAACAACAAACTAAAGAGTTTGCTAAGTGGGTTCTTAAGATCGGGGATGGCGACATTAAAGTAGAAAAAGGTGGTGTTCAAGAAGTGGAGATCCCACATGATTTGCTCCTAAAGGTAAAAGATAATCACATTAGAATTACAGTTGATAGCACATATCATGACTTCCTTAATAGATTCAGTGATCCGCATATCTACAAGGAAGAGAGATTCTTGCACCTACATTGGACATTGTCAATGACATAAATAACTACATGCTCTCATTGATCGCTGGCGAGGAAGTTACACACCTTAGTTCAGATAGTATTATCCCATCAATTTAGTTCAAAGATGATTGTTCTATTGTTGTATCAACCTCATCCCTCCACGGGAGTGCCAATCCGCCACTCCTTCCGTCACAAGCAACACTGAAATCATACTGAAAACCTATTTCTTTGCAAACTTGTGCAATGCGGGCATCTCCACATAGCGTCTCCATCAAGAATATAATCAACGGATGAAAAGTTGATGAGATATCTTTTAATACCTGGACCGTGGCAAGATTGCTCAGACCTCGGCAATTCCAACTAACGCAAACCATCACGACAATAAGATAAAAGAACCTCGAGAAGAAAACTTCGGAAAGAATAACACCAGAAATACCTCCTGACTAGGCTGATGTTGGCGGGGAAAAAACCTTCCCCACATACGAGGGAGACACAATACCGCCAGAAGAAGACTCCGGGAATAATAACCCCAAAAATACCTGCTAAAGTCAGCGGCATAAGCCCAACAATTGCTAGTGGCACGGTGACATGACAACATTAGAGCTATCTTACTTCAAAGCCTCGAACAATCCTTGCGGTATCCCCAGTCTTGTGAAGCCATGTTGCACCGACGACAACCAATGAATAGCGATGATCTTCGTAAAACTCCAACGGCGACGTAGGATTTTTTTTACTTTTCGGGATTAGGTTTTTTGTTTTTTACTTTTCGGGATTCTTCATCTTTATGACTTTACCTCATAGAGTTATTGTACAACAACAGTTATCACGACAGTATCAAAATGGCACCGTATGAAGCTTTATACAGTCAAAAGTGTAGAAGTCCACTATGTTAGGGCAATATGACAAACTGTAGAAAATGTTACATTTTATGTTACATTATTTTATTCTAATTAGTTTGATGTACATAATTAGCCGATTAGATTAGAATAGAGGCTGTTAGTTAGTCATAAGATCGTAGTTATCAAGATGCTAAAATATAGGATCTACACTAGCTGTTTGTTACTTGTACATCAGTATAAATACTCTAGCCGATTGGCATAATCAATCAATGAAGTTTTATTCCTAAAATCTACATGCATGGTATTAGAGACTTGAATTTACACATCTCAAATGGTGGAATTCAAACACCCTGACTCATCTCCCTATTCAAAAACCAGTAACCCTAACTCCCATATTAGCTCAATGGCAAACTATCAAACCTCGGTTAATTCATCTAACCTCATCACTGGGCATAGATTGAATGGAAGAAATTACCTAGAGTGGTCACAATCTGTCAAGTTAGCAATTGACGGCAAGAGTAAACTGGGATACCTAACTGATGAAATCAAAGAGAAAAAAATGGTGAAGATGGCTACAGTGTCTGGAGGTCAGAAAACTCACTGGTTACAGCATGGCTTCTCAGTTCAATGCATATATGCATCAATCGCCAAACCTCATATGTTTATGAAAACTGCAAAAGAGGTATGGGACTCTATTAAGGAAACTTATTCAGACCTTAAAAACTCTTCTCAGATTTTTGAACTCAAAACCAAGCTGCGGTAGTCTAAACAAGGAAATAGGGATGTCATTTCATACTATAATGAAATGATATCTCTATGGAAAGAATTAGATCAATGTTATGAGGATGAAGAGTGGGAAAGTGCAGAAGATCTAACAAGACATAGGTAAAGATAAGAGAATGATAGGGTCTATATGTTTCTAGCGGGAATCAATAGGGACCTGGATGAAGTAAAGGGAAGAATACTTGGGAAAAAACCTTTCATTCGCGAAGAGTACTTTCAAATTTTTGACAAGTTGTTGCTGAATATATCGACATGTGTATCATTTGCCTCAACTTCTCGAAAAGGGGGCAATTGTTGGTACACGAGTTTGACAGCTTGGACTACATTCAAAAAGGCTTGACCATGGAAACTAATGACGCATTTAGTGGGATTAATTCTAGCTGATTAATCTAAGCGGTTTTATGAATATAATTAGAGTAATTATTGTAATTAAGGCGGGGGTTAATTAAAGGGTTGACCAGAATTGATGATGCCATAATAACGATTTTGATGTTGTCGTAACGGTCGGAACATGTCGTCAACGGAAAAAAGTGCATTAAATGCCTCTCTTATAAATAGTTACAGGCTCTATGTAATCAGGACACACTCAGTTACGAATATACACAAAAGAGTTCTCCTATTCTCTCTATTAAAGTTCATAGCTATTCATATTATATTCAAATTATTGATTATAGATAAAATCTATTTATTTTATCTTGTCAATCATACTTATTCGATCTTATTTCCTAGATTCCCAATCCAATTTCATATATTTTAGATTAGTTTATTTTGTCATAAACAGCCCGTCTACTGAGGTGTGAGACGAACGGCCTTTGGCCTTAGCAAGATATTGTATCGGGGCGTTATTTATCATTAATAATATCTGATCTTTTACTGCTCATCATCCTCTTAGCCCATCTTATTTGCTTGTTGGGTCAGTTATTCATAATCACATCAATCCACTAGAAATCCTTGGGCTTACGTGTTGGACCCGAGGGTTGAAGGAATAAACCTCAACTTAAATATAAATAAATAACAGTCAAAATAGAGTATGTGAAGTCGTGAATGATATAAATTCAACATGTTACAATTATTTAAGAACGAAAACAATAAGAAATAAGATTGTTAACTTTTTCAAATGGGGTCCATTGTATTTTACAATAACTAACTAACACAAAAGTGATACCCAATATATTTTTAGTAAAATTGAGTTTAAATGTCTGTGTATTAAACTCATAAAAGGAAACAAGAAAGGAATGAGAACCATACTTGTGCAGAGCTAAAGGAAACATTGGCTGCAGTGGAGGAAAAAAAAATAGAAACCCGAAGGGGGAATTGATCTTGCTACCTCCCGGAGATAGAGGTATAAATGCATGTGTTATGTTAGAGATATTTTCATTATATTGTGATCAATGTTACTTAGCCATTTTGTAATAGTTTATTTATTCATAGAATAGGCTTTAAATGGAAAAGGCTACTAAGCTAAATCTGGAATGGGCCTCCTAAAAAGGAAAGCCCATATCATTGTAAAACCTACCATTCTAAGGAGGCTATAAATAGACCCCTTAGGAATGGCTAGGCTAAGCTTTTCAATACATTCTCTGTGCCGCAGTGCCTATTTGCGTGTAAGGTTTTTACGCTAAGTTTTCACATCATTCTGTAAAACCTTCACCATCAATGGAAAGCTTCATTCCCAGATCTGTCTTCCTTACTCATACATTTTAGACTAGAAAACAGGGACCTAACATCTGGTATCAGAGCCGGAGCTGATCGATCGATTGAAGGCTGGAAAACACTCTTGCGCTATTCATCATCGATGAAGTTTTACACTTGAGCGATTTTCAGTTCTGTTTTTGTTGTGATTTTTCCAGGAAAAATGTTTACAGGGAAATGTTTCTAGGCTTGCTGGGATTCATTCTGCAAAAAATCTCACTGTGAAAGTTGGCGTACAGGTTAAGCCAGATTTGAGCGATCCTGCATTTTCGCGCAACTCCTCAGAAAGAAGAACAGGTTCGCGCAACCAGCCTTCTGCGCGATTTTGTGTTTCGCGCAACCTGCCTTCTGCGCGATCTCACACTTCACGCAACAACAGCTTCTGCGCGATCTTCTTTTTGCGCAATCTGGAACTTGCGCCAACTCCAAAATCTTGAGCGATCTTTTTTTGGGAAGTTGAGCGATCCTTTTGGCAAGTTGAGCGATCTTTTTAAGAGTTGAGCGATCTTTTGTAAAGTTGAGCGATATTTGTAAAAGTTGAGCGATCTTTTGAGAGTTGAGCGATCTTTTGTAAAGTTGAGCGATCTTTTGCAAAAGTTGAGCAATCTTTCAACACTTGCGTGATTCCATACTTGCAAAGACCAACTGCCTGAAGTACCCAACAACAAAACATGACTTAATCAATCAACTGATCAGCCCGATCATTTAAAATGGATGCTTTGTCTATTGGAAATGACACAAGACCCCCGATTCTACGAAGAGGAGAATATAATGTTTGGAAGAACAGATTCCTTAATTTTCTTGAGAGTAAGGACCAATCATCTGGACTTCTTGACTCCATCATCAATGGCCCTGCCCAGCCACTCATTATTGTTGAAAGAGACAATGGGAACAATCCATCGGTTGAGATAGAATGTGTGTTGGCGTTCTCCACTTGAACATTG